AAAGTGTCCTTATTATATGTGATTTCCACCACCACCCCCCTCCCTTTCTGGAAGCTTGTAGGATCTTGTCTTTGTCTCCAAGTTTCTAAATTTCATAATGATGTATCTTGATGTGGGTCAATTTGTTTCCAAAGGGATTGTGGGCCTTTTCAATCTGGAAACCTTACCCCCTTTAGTTTGGTGACATTTTCTTGAAATGTTTAAGCTGTTTTTAATGGTTTTCTTTGTCTTCTTTTTCTGGAGGGTTTTTTTTTTACTTGGATATTGGACCTCCTGAACTGGTGTTCTATTATTCCTCTCCTCCTTTATATATATATATATATTTTTTCTTTCTGATCTACTTTCTGGGAGGTATTTTCAGCTTTATAGTTCTTTCCCTCTTACTGAGTTTTCCTTTCCTATCATGTTTTTATGTTTCTTTATCTCACATGCTCCTTTTAATAGCATACTGTTTGACACCATACAATAAGCACTGGGCTGCTAACCACAAGGCTGGCAGTTCAAACCCACCAGCCACTCCTGAAGAAAAAGATGGGACTTTCTGCTCTGGTAAAGATTTATAGTTTCAGAAACTCCATACAAGGTCACTATGAGTTAGAATTTACTTGATGGTAGTGAGTTCTTGTTTCAAAGCTGCAATCATTCTCTTAACTCTCAGTGTTTGTATGAATGCTTATTTGTTGAATTTTCGAAGTTTTCTTTCCTGTGCCTGGTCACTGGCCTCCAAGTTGCTTGTTTCTGTTTGTTTTGGTCTCATGATTTTGCATTAAGGGCTTCCTGAAAATGTTTGGTTGTCCTTGGGTTATCTGCATACATTAAAGAATGTTGTTGTTGTTAAGTGCTGTTGCGTTTTTCTGAGCCATGGCAACCCTGTATAGAGTTTCCGAGGAGCAGCTGGTGAGCTTGAACCGCCAACTTTGCAGTCCAAACTGACTTTGCAGCCCAGAGCATTAATCCACAGCACCATATCAGGACTCCACATTTAAGAATGGTGGTGGTGGTTACGTGCCGTGGAGTCAGTTCCGACTCATAGTGACCCTGCTCAGGGTTTCCGAGGCTGTAAATCTTTATGGGAGCAGAAAGCCTCATCTTTCTCCCGCGGAAAACCTGGTAGTTTTGAACTGCTGACCTTGAGGTTCACAGCCCGATTCGTAACCACTATGCTACCAGAGCTCCTTTACATTTAAGAATAGTAGACTGAAATGTTGATTAGAAGCTCCAACTGTCTAAATGGGGCTTCAGTGCAGGCTGATTGTCTTAGTTACCCAGTGCTGCTTTAACAAAAATTTCTTTGCTAATAGTTTAAGAGGCTGAAAGTCCAAGTCAATGTCTTGGGCGTGCCGAGTCCTTCTTTGTTGGTAGCCTCAGGAGTTCCTTGGTTCCTTGGTTCCCCCCATGCATGTGTGTGTGTTTAACCTATTCTTTATATAACTCAGGTTAGGTTTAGGATTTACTCTATAATGATAATGACCTCAACTGATTGATTGATTATCTTACATTAAGTTGCATTATGGGAGATAGTTACATCATGTTCACATTGTTGTTTTTAAGTGCCTTTGAATCAGTTCCAACTTATAGTTCCAAGGCTTCATATCTTTACGGGCACAAAAAGTTTGTCTTTCTCCGACAGAGTGACTGGTGGGCTTGAGCAGCTGACCTTGTGGTTCACAGTCCAGTGCTTATCCTACAGAGCCACTGCACGCCCTGCATTGCTTTTGTTGTTGTTTTGTTTTTAAGTTCCATTGAGTTGGTTAGATGTAACATAATTGACTTGCAATCAGCGATTAACCTGAAGATTGGCAGTTTGAAACCACCCAGTGGGACCATAGAAAGAAGGGCTGGTAGACTTCCACAAAATTTCGGCCAAGAAAACCCTACGGAGTAGTTCTCCTCTGTAACACATGGGGTCCCTATGAATCAGAATCAACTCTGACCATGAGTTTGGGTTTTTTTTTGTTACATTGTGTTGTGTTACATTAGGTTCACATTCACAACTAGCACTTATTCTGAGGGGTAGACCCTTCAATCCATAACACTGATCACAGGAAACTGCAATGTCAGTGTTTTTTAGGTTTCTTTACTTGGCTGGTCAGCTTCTTTCAATCTCCTGCTTGGAGAGTGATTGCCTGGCTGCCAGATCCCTGGGAAACAAAGAAGAGAAGATGGACTGAGGTCTCCACATCCAATATACAGATGTTCATCTAATCCCAGCTATTTTCCTTCAGCTGAGTAAAAGAGACCCTCTCTTTTACTCATAGAAAAACTAACTTCCTGCTATTTGTTGGGGTATGTGGAAATGAGAAAAATATCTAGGTGTACAGAGTTGAAAGGCCACCTGACTTTCTTGGACAGACATTGAACTAGTCCTGCTTAGTTTAGAATCTCTGCCACCACCACCACCACTACCCCCACCCCCCACTTAATCCTCTTGGGGTCTTTAGGATGTCAAATGAGGTGGCTCCTATCTTTTCCCACTGCTAACTTAGAATTCAGGTCTGTTGTATTATTTATCACCGTCCTCTGTGCATTCTAGCTCTGGAAACGTTGGGGCTATTGTCTTGTTCTTGTTGGTTCATGCATTAAAAAATCCTTTAAATTTTCTTGAATGGGCTTTTGGGAGGAAGCAAAGGTAGCCTTATGCTTTCAGTCTTCCTTTTTTTTTAAATGTTTTATTGTGAATGATGTGAGAGTTTACGAGGGAGAACATTAGTTTTACATTCATCCTATCATATATCGTTTCATTCAGTCTTCCATTCTCACCTGAAATTCTCACCATTGCTACTTATTTATAGAATTCTCAACTATATGACTTTCTCAAACGCAAAAGCCAGTGGCCTACTGTAAATACTCCAAAGTATACATGAGAACAAGAATGTCCAGAACACAGCCCTTATATTAAAGCAATGTCTTTTTTAGGATTATTTTCTTTTAAACCAAGATTTAGCATTAAGATTTAGTTCCTCACCCACAACTTCTTTCTCTTTCTTCCATCTCCATGTCCTTCTAAAACTCTCATTGTGTTTGTCCTGTCCTCATTCAAGTTCTTCATGAAGGAACCGCGGAGAGGCATCAAGTTGCAGAGAATGAGGTAGTTGTGGGAAGGAAGAAAAGTGAGAGAGGTGGGTGCAGCACAGCAGGCATGTCAGATCCATGTCGGCTCCTATGAAGCCTGCTGTGACTGTCTCTACCCGCTTCTTCCTGACTTGAGATCAGAACAGCAATGCTCGTTATAGCTGTGACCTTCCTCCAAGCCCACTCTGAGCTTTCCTAGAAGCTATCTACATCACTGGATTGGAGCCAACAGCACTGGATTTGGTCATCCTTTTAAGGCGGAACATACCTTCAACTTCTAGGTCATCTATAGAGAGAGTGGGGCATAGAGAGAGTGGCCACTCTGACTCCAGAAGTGGGATTTGAAGGAATGGCTGCCTCCATGAGGGGTTTCCAGCAGTTCTTAGCATGTCCTTCTCTATTCCTCCTCTAGTGACTTCGGAAGCTGAATTTCACTGGATACCATATTGTTTCCTGAAATTGACGTCTTTGTTTTCTATTTAAATTTTTATTGTTCATTAGAGGAGTTCTGAATCTAAGATGGTAGGACTTCAGGGGATAAATAAATAATGGCCACTATTGTGTTTCTGAATTCAGAACTAGTCAGGAGACAAAAGGACCAAGAAGAAAAATCTAGCCATTACTATTTATTTTTACAGAAAAAGCACTCTGAGAAATGCTGTGTGATCTCTGTTGGCCAGTATAGACATGTTAATATTTTGACCTTGAATTTGACATCTTAGCTAGTTAGTGGCTAACTGGGACAACCACAGACCACTTCATGAGTGTTTGACCCTCTAAAACTTAGAGTGAGAAGTTCATCTCCTGCAAAAGTATTTGTTAGGGACTAAGAGAGACCGTGGGTGTTACTCTCATGGAGGTCCCTCCCTTTGGGAATATGAGACATGGTGAATGTGTTCCCTGTAATATAAAGAGATAGCAATTATTCTTAAGACACACCATCGATATGTATCAGATCCTCAAAAAAAAAATATATATATATACTGTATTAGTCAAGTAATATGACACATTCCGATATGAAGAACATTAATACTATTTTTTAAGTGCTCCTTAAAGTTGAAGGAAGTATTGTATGGCAAGTTGTCAATCATTCATCCTTGTGATAAAAGCCTTCTCCATGGTTTAGGCAAAGTGAAGTGCATGCCTAGACTGGAATGGGAGACCCACTGTACTCCCACCTCTGTTACAGACTTGCTGGGAGTTCTTGGCTTATTGTGTTCATCTGCTAAACAAGGAGTGGGGACCAGCCCAATACATGAACAGACAAAATGAAAGGGGGGATAAGACCTGAACTCCTATAGCTAAACAGTTTCAGAGTTGGGACTAAAGGCTTTGTGTGAAATGTTGATTGGAAGTTTCAGGTGTATACATGGGCTTCACTGTAGGCTGATTGTCTTAGTTACTTTGTGCTGCTTTAACAGGAAATTCTTTGCTAACAGTTAAAGAGGCTAAAAGTCTCGTACATCTTATGCTATAACTACTGTGTTGTTGTTGTTGTTGAGTGCTGTTGGACTTAAATTGTATTTAGGCAAAATAGTGTCATTACAGGATAGAGATGCCCATTCACTTGTACATTTATTTATTCATTTAGCAGACATGGATTGAGCCTCTTTTTTCATGCCTGATTTTGTGCTAAGCAATAAGAGTGAATGAGACATGCTTTTATCTCTGTAGGAACATACAACCCTTCTGTGTTGGCAGGTGAGTGACCACCTCAAACACCAACCTCACTTGAAGGGCTTCAACCAAATTTCTGGAAGAGACCTCAACTTCCCTGGCTGCCCTGAAACTCATATCTCCCCTAGACTTTCCCTGAGACTTGGAATAATACCCCTTCTGTCAATAAGACTGACCCGCAGTTGTTTCCTACCAGCTTTTCAGAACCATATCCACTGGCCTCATCGTGGTTTTTCTCTCACTGTTTCTAGGGTACTTGAACTGGCATTACTATGTAACCATGCCGATGCCAGCCTCCACCTTCACAATTGCAGTGGGATCCTGGACAGAAATACAGCCTGAGGCCTGCTCATCAAATACTCGGGCAACAGAGAACATCTTCCCCTCTTGTGAGGACAACTTCAGGTTTGTGTTTGGGAACTTGAGGGATCAGTGTGATGCATTTCTTCCAGGCACCGGGAATGTGAGTCATCCCTGCTGAGAAGTTAAACCAAAATATGATTAATCATAGCAGGAAAAGCCCTCCTGGGAAGGAAGTGGGGTGAAGGGCAGAAATGTAGGCATCTTGTTTATGCAGGAAAAAGGGGGGAAGAAACTAAGCATATGTGATATTCTGTATAAAGTCAGATGAAATATTTTTATACGTATCTGGCTCAGTTGAAAGAATCCTCAATTCAGCACACACACACACACACGCGCGCACACCCCATGCCCTGACATACCCTGCTACACACACACTTTTTCACTTAGGTTTTCAGTTCTTCTTTGGATGAAAATGTAGGTTAATGAAAAGAGGCCTCTTGTCTGCTGGATTACTTTGTAACCACTCAGCTGTTTTGGTTCCAGTGACTGTTGTTAGCATGGCATTTGTAGGACATGCCTGCCCTCAGTGGAGTTGGTCAGCCTCCTCAGAAGTACAGATCACAATGATACTTTTACAAAGCCACTGGGTTAAGGGAATCCTGCTGGGTCAGGACTCTATTAACTTCAGTAGCAAGTTCTTCTTTTTCAGAATGGATCAGAAAAAAATGATTGCTGTTTTAAAGAACTAGAATGGGTCATTGGCTATTTTCTCTCAGCCTACCAGATACTGAATGAAGTTTTATTTACCCTGTGCCACTGTAGCACAAATATCACATGTTGTTGTTGCTGTTAAGTGTCATTGAGTCGATTCCGACACATAACAACTCTATGCAGGGTTTCCAAGGAGCAGCTGGTGGGTTTGAACTGCCTACCTTGTGGTTCCCAGTTCAGTGTTGATCCTGTGGAGGCCAAGTCTGAATTAGAGGCATGACCTCTAATTGAGGGCAAATACTTTCTTATCTATTTCAGCTGCTAGTGGAGGTGGTGGTTCTGTGCTGTGGAGTCAGTTCTGACTGGGGTTTCTGAGGCTTAAGTCTATGGGAGCAGAAATCCTCATCTTTCTCCTTCAGAGCAGCTGGTAGATTCCTTGTGGCCAGCAGCCCAACTCGTAACCCACTACACGCCCAGAGCTCCTTACAGTTCCTAGTAGCTGCCAGAAATTTTTTGGCATTTCTAGGCCTGTAGATGCATCTGTCCCCATCATATATCTTCCTCTTTCCTGTGTGTGCATGCCTATGCTGCTCTTTTTATAACTCAGAAATGATGACGTTTAGGGCCCACCCTACTCTTTTATGTCCTCATTAACATCACACACAAAAAAACCCACCACTATTTCCTAACAGGGTGATATTTACAAAAACAAGGTTTAGGATTTCAATGCCTATTTGTGTGTGGTGAGGGGGCAGCGAGTACAAAATTCAATTCATAGCAAACTCTTTCTAGCTTTGGGAGCCAAAAGAAGGAGAAGGGAAATGCACCTAAGAGGTACAGAAGGATGCTGAAATCATACATCATTGCTTCTTGCTTCATTCCTAGGACTTTAATATCGGGCTCCATTTAGTCATTTTTTTCTATTTACAGAAAGTCACTAAGTCAGTACTGTCTGGTAGAGAAAGCCCAGAATCATGATGCTGATGGTTAGTTCATCTCTGAAAACCAACTATGCACTAAGTGCATTCTTAATGCAAATTCCTTTAGTGTTAGTGCTATGTTACTTTCATTCTTACTGCCGTGACATAGTGGTTGTATCTTTCGAGGCTGAAGCCACTGTGCCTTCTCTTGGGACAGACATAGACATGTCTTATTGCCTGAAGTTTACTCTTGGAGGGAGAGGAGGTAATTTCCACTTCTTGTTCCATCTTAGAATGTCTTCCTCGAGCTACCTAGACTATCCTAGGTTGTTTATTGGCTATGACTTATGCATTCTCAAGGGAAGAAGAAAAGTGTGGGCAGAAGTGACAGAAAGTATGTTCATGCTAGAACATTGCTAGAGACCCTCTATCAGTCTATTCCTTTGATGATGTGATCATGGAGTAGCTCTTGTATTTTGATTGTGGGCAGCCTGAATTTCTGAGAGTCCTTGGAGGGTCACTTGAATTTATAGTGGGCTTGTTATGAGCAAGAAATACACTATTCTTGTATGTTAAGCCACTGGACTGTTTGAGTTGTTAGTTAGTGCAGCACATCCTTGCTTTTCCTGACTTGATAACAGGAGCCACAGGATGTTTGAAAGCAGGGAAAGTCTTGATCTAAATATCATTTCCTTTAGTACTGAGGATAAGCCTGTCAAATTGGTAGGTGTCATTGCTCCCATTTTATAGGTTAGAATACTGAAGTTCAAAGGGTAACTTGCATCTATTCATATTCCTGTTGAATAGCAATACCTGGATTCACATCTAGGCCTGACTCATAGAGAGGTGATTTAGACTCTCACTTGGGGACTTGTGTGTGTGTGTGTGCATTCTTTATTTCAAGTACTTACAAAATACTATTATAAGTTACTCCTCAGGACAAGAACCAAGATCACTCCTGTAAAAACTTAGAAGCTATGTACACAACTTTACAGAACAGCAAGCAATACTTTGGCTGAAGCCTGACTACTGACCAGAGACCACACTTCTCAGTGGACCCAATGAAGAAATGAAAACCAGACAGAGAAGGAATGGTGCCCATCTGAATCAAATGTCAGTTGCCTTCAGGGCAAATCTTGTGGTATCACAGAACTGGAGGCTGTTTTTGGAAGGTTCGTGTGCAGCACAGGGTTCCATGTGTCTAGTTGGCTACACCCCTGATTGGGGTGCCATTAGATCAATGTCGCTCAAGTTCCTGGCCAGCCAAACTCCTGTCACAAAAAGTCCCAAGTGCAAAAAGGATCAAGTGCCTCCGGAAATCATTCCTATCGGTGGCAAAGCAGTAGATGCCAGTCTCCCACGTTGTCTGGGATTTCGGGGGTTTCATTTGCAGATCTCTTCCACTGGAAGCCATAGTAGCACCTTTGAGTTCTGCACTGGGCTCGCACCACCTCAGTTGGGGACTTTTAAGCAAACTGTACTCATGTGACATTCATGCATCACCTGGATGGAGCCAGATCCAACCTTCCCACCTGAAGAGTCACTGCCATGATGGAGCCACTGTTATTTATTGGAGTGTGTCCTGCTGGAACAGAAAGTTCATGTCGGTGTAGAAAAACAAAAGTTGTGAGTACTGCTTTTGAGCCTGAAGGTGCTGTTATTGACTGATATGTCTCTTTGGACAAGGCCATATCTGTAGTAATATCATGTGAGACTCTTATTCTTGTGACCCAAGTTCAAATCCCGGAGGGACACAGCTACTTGGAGTTCTGTTGTGGCGCTGTTGGATAAATTCTGACCTGCTAACCACAAGGTTGGCAGTTGAAACCCACCAGCCACTCCTTGGAAATCCTATACAGGGTCTCAGTGAGTCGGAATCAACTCTACAGCACTTAACAGCAACCTGACTTCCATGTTTCTCAAATTCATCATGGTGAAGACATACTCTGTCTGTTAACCAAAGATTCAGTGTTGGTCAATTGTTAGAGCAGTGCATCAATAATATAAAAAGGTGTGCTGGAGGAAAGCAAAGAAAGAAGGAATGTGCTATTTTGTCCTCTCACTTGTATCTCTTGAGAAAATGGGGATGGCTGTCAGCCTCCACAACCCAGACGCACACCTTGCCTAACACATGGTCAAGAGCATGCTGAAAAGTGCCTCTCTATAGATACGCAGACTAGAAAGAAAGAGCCCAAGTTGCTGACCAATCAGACTGGGCATGGTGGTGGTGGTGGTTATGTGCCACGGAGTCGGTTCCGACTCATGGATCCTGTATAGGATTTCTGAGGCTGTAACTGTACATAGAAGCAGAAAACCTTGTCTTTCTTCTGCAGAACTGCTGGTCGTTTCAAATTGCTGACCTTGAGTCATACAGCCAGACTCATAATCACTACATTACCAGAGCTCCTGGATTGGGGGTAGAGAGGGCAATGGTACATGGACTCGGGGGCCTGGGGAATAGCATTCCTTTACACTTCCTCCCGTTTCCTGAGATGCTTTGACTAAGTTTTCCCTTCATTTATCAATGTGCTTGTCCATCAAAGTGGTATTGCTAATGCAATAATAGTTTATGGTTTCTTAATCCTGCTCAGGGTTAGTGCTGTTTTCCATGTTTTTATCCAGAGTATCTGGCTTCAAGCTCATTTTGCCCACAGAAGTGTTCTTCAGTGTCAGACACATGGGTGTTTTGGGTCACATCTGGTCCCCTTGCCTTCCCCAATCCCCTTTCAACTTCAAACCTTCTTAAGATCACCAGCTTAATTCATGTAAATGCAACTTTTCCAGGGGCCTTATATGCCACACACTTTCATTTGCCTAGTGTTCATCTGGGTCCCAGAGATGTGGCTAAAGTATTGGTCACTGAACTTTTGATCACTGATCATGTGGGAAAACATTCTTCCTTCCAGCTTCAGTCCCACACACTCTCTAGCCCACACTGGGGGAGCATTTTAGTAAATACATTAGTTATAGGCACTTAGATAAATTGTCAAAAGTTTATTAATTTCATTAGAATGCAGTAGAAACTTCTGTAACCACAGGAGAATCTTTGAATTGTATTTAACTTCTAAAGGCCTTTGTGAAAGCCTTGTCTCTTTGGAGGCCATACAGTTGAAGGCCGGCATGGAAACTTGGATAAAGTCCAGAGGAGCTCAAACAAAATGATTAAAGACCTGAAAAACTGGCACCATGAAGAAGAAGAAAAGGCAATGATGTGATTCATTCTAAAGAAAAGAGTAGGGGAAGGATCTTCTTCATAGTTAAGTACAGGCAGTTCCCAAATAACAAAAAAGTTCTATTCTTAAGTCTACCTTCAGTCAAATCTGAACATAAGTCAGAAGAACAGTTAGGTACGGTTTGTACCTAACATCAGCTATTCAAATATTTGTCTCATGTATAGTGTATGTGGGTAAATCAAAATGTATTGCTACTAGGGTGCCAGTTCATACATGCATAAGCTTATTTCAGACAAAT